GTGCAGTGTACATTCACCAAAAAAATTAAAATAAAATAAAAAATTCTGATATTAACAACAATCATTTATAGCACAGGAAAAACAATAAAATAAGGATATGTATAAAATTATAATGGAATAAAAACAAAACTCAAAACTTTCAAAAACAGCAGGTTCAAACATTTTTGGAGGTTCATCTCAAGGACGAGTGAAATGATGTGAGGCATTACTTTCAATCTGTGCATCCCACACTGGGACTGATATCAATGATTTACCGCTAAATAATACTCCCTACTCACTGCAAACATTTTGTTGTCGCTCCGACCCACGCAAACTGCATAGTTACACCACCGTGGCCGTTTCTGAAGTGCATAAGGGCTTATTATTACCGACGTTAATGGAAGAACCGCAGGACTGCAGCACTGGACAGCCCGTCATACTTGGAAGCGCACGTCCCGGTGACCTGCGGGTAACGTGACGTGACCGGGAGGAAGCGCGGAACATTAGGAGCAAAGCGAGAAACCAATCCCAGCTCTTCAAGTTTTCACCCCAGTCCAGGCAGAGATTCCTCTACCTCCTGGGCCTTTGGTGCTTTCGGTCAGTTTCTCTCGCCCCGTGTTTTCCTGACGCAAGTATCCGGGAGGAGGAGAAGCAGGCAGGGCAAAGCAAAAGTTACCCTACCGCCTGCCGAAACAACTCAGGAAACAGGAGCCGGGGCAAACCCTGAGACTGCGCTTCTATTGAAATAGGAAACACTTCACGAAAGTAAAAAAAAAAAAAAAAAGTATCGGGAATTTACAAAATCCTCTGGGGACTTTGACTGGGCTTGTACTGCTGTACTCACAGTATCGCCATTTATCCAAATCTCTCAATGGTGCGACTAATTAAAGGCGATTCCCATGTCTGTTGTGATTTAAGGAGAGCACCAAACTATCCGCATGAGGTACACACGAGCGCTTACGCAGGGGTTACAGCATTTCTTTCAGCGAGTCTCAAGAACGAGCATACACCTGCAACGACAAGCGAGAGGGAGGGCGACAGAAATGGTTTCTGTGCTTGTTATTTCCACATCATCTCGACTAGTTAAAACAGGCAGTGAGGACAGGGCCCGACACAAACAAACCACACCGACCTGCTCGTGCTCCTGCCGCAGGAGACTTATTGTTCCGCTTGTATGTGGTAATCCAGGCAGCACACTGGGACTGGAGCCACTGCGACAAGTTCCTCCAACTACTTTGCTGTTAAAAAAAAAATCCCAAACTAATCGTTCCCCCTGTCCGGTAATTCCTATCCCTGCGTCGGCGGACGTGCGGCAGCGTCCCGTGCTCCGACAGAGTGCATTGTTAATCAGTAATAAACCATAATCCAGGTCAAACTTTGGCTCGTATTCAGTGCCGTCCCGTTCGGTGATGATCAGCCATATCGCTGCTGCTGTGTGGATCCCAAGTGGAAGCGGTGGCGTGATCCCGGAAAACACCGCAAGGGGTTTACGTAGCTATGCCTGCGTGTGCGTGTGTGTGTGTGTGTGTTTAAGGGAGAGTGTATTAGACCCTTTCACATCCACCCCCACCTCTATCCACTCTGTCTTAAAAAAGTAGAGTCAGATGGAATAATTTAAGGGGCAACATCACCAGGGGAAATTAGCCTTCATTATCCAAACTGATCTGTATTTAAATGTGCACCTCTGAGAAAATTCGAGTAAATAATGCATGACAATTATGGAAATTAAGTACTATGATCCACAACTCGTTAGCTGGCGTTGGGAGTAAATAGACAGAGCAGCTGTCACCTTTCGTCTGCCCCATTAAAAACCAACTAAAAAATTTTTAAGTTTTTTTTCTCTCTTCTTTTTTTTCTTTTTTCGTTGTGCACATATGGTATGAATATTTTACATACAGTAGACTTTCAACGAGATTAATGTTTCCCATCTTTATGAAATTGTGTTCTGTCGATAACAACATTTCCTTATTGCCGCTTTTGTAAAAAAGAATATGTATATATAGGCCTATATATTTTATGAGTATCACCCGGCAGCCTCGACACATTACGTCGCGTATCACAAATGACACAGCACAGTTGGGAGTCTCTGACATGTATTTTGTCGCCACCTTGCGGCTAAATAAGAGAAGTGCGTCGTGTTTGCATTAGTTGATATCTAGAATCAAATGGTTAAATCTGGCTTCATGATTATATAATAATCGGGACTATTACCAATAATGATGTACATATTATTTATTTTTGTCTTAAATTATTAATATATATATTTTTTTTTTATTTCTGGGGATCTGCAACCTGCAGCTCTAGAAAGCCAAGTGGCTCATTAGGTCTTTCTCAATGGCTCTTTATAACTTTGGATAAAAAATGATAAACGACTGAAAATTGTTTTTAAATGTGCATATGACAAATAGTGGTTTAAACAGCTTTCCCACAACAGAGTGACAAGTACCAGAAATAATGTTTACACCATTTCTTCTTGACATGATGAAGCCATCTATATGCCTTTATACATAATTGTTCACACATATCAGCATCCTATGCAAAAGAAAAGTCCTGCTTTTGTGTTGTTCTTATTTAAAAAACAAAAATAAAATGATGGTTCTTTTAAAAACGACAGCACATTTATTTCTTTTAAAAAAATATATACGTTGTCTCTTTTTCAAGTGGTCATGTATAAAAATTTGTGGCTCTGATTGGGGTTTATTTAGCTGCACCGAGAGCAAAAATGGCATTTTAGTTTACAAAGGTTTCAGATCTCAGAGCATTCCACAAAATCACTTAACAAATTAGTACGTGCGTTTCAGCATTCTGCGAACACAGGATTACCTTAAATTGTAAAAAAAAAAAAAAAAAAAATCAACCAGCAGTGTTTTCCTTCTGCTAAAATTTGACATTTAGAGTAAATGTCATTTAAACGTACCTTGATATTGGGAACTGGCCGGTAGAGGTCGCTAACACTTTAGAGCAGCTCATGAACAACGAATATCGCGGTCTATCTTGTTGTTAGGCAGGTTGTCAGGGGCAGCGCAGCTGTCAGTTAGCTCGAACGGGATTAGGAGCTTTTATATAATGACGACACATGTATTTATTAAAGAAAAGGATTGTCACTGCACTTGTTTGCTCAATCGATGCTGTCCTAATTCGTCGGGTAACAGTAGCCAACACGACAGTGTCGTTTTTTCTTAAAATAAAAAAGAAGCAGGAGTTTGCAATGGGGCTAACTCTGTAGCTAGCTGAACAGCCCAAGTATGCTAATGTAAATAGCTAGCTAACATTTTCCAAGATAGCTCGAGCCTGGCTGGTTTGTGTTTTTACGTTATACTGTAAACACTTTAAAACAATATCTGTGTGTTGTAAACGATGGATGAAGCTCAAGAAGATTTATTGGAACACGAAGACATCAGCCAGAAGCCGTTATCACCACCTTACAACCTTCCTCCTCTTCGATCCACACGGCTGCACATCCAGAGAAGCAATGTTTGCTCTCGGGCTTATTTCGTGGTGGTCATGGTCTTCTTCCATGTTTACATCTTGAATGTCATTGCACTGCTACTCTACGTGCACTACAACAACGGCCCCGGGGATTTAGTACGTGGAGATGGGGCGTCCTCAGCTCCAGTCATCAACACGGACAGGCGCCTGCCCCAACCTGCTCCATCAGAGAGAGAGTTGCATGTGGAGGAATACAGTCAGAGTTTCAGCCTACATCGTATGGAGGGGATACGGGTAAGATCTTTGGTATCATTTATAAGAACTTAAATTTCCTGATCACAAATTTAATATGAGACAGTACTGCTTGAGAGTGAGTATTTGACCAGAGAACTGCTGATTCCTTAAGTAGAGTTCAGTGGTGATGTATAATTAAATTTTTCCCAATGGAAAATTATTTTCCAGCATGTCCATATATCAAGAAACACAAATGATTACACATAAATAGGAAATAAATAACAGCCCACATCGTTTTGCAAATATATGCATGCAGTTCCTCACTAATTCTACATTAAAACTATGTTCTGTGCTCCTCCAGGTTGGACATGTTCAACATGTGTCTGTAGTACCAGACAGAACACACGAGATGAAAACACTCAGCCTGAAACCTTTGCTGTTTGGTAAGTAAATCGTAATACCTGAACAAGACCTGTCATCTATGAAAAACTCAAGTTGCATAATGTGTTGGTTCACATTTTTTTATTTGAAAACACCGCCTGTCCTGCAGCCACCTGAGGCGTCTGCGATGTTAGCAAGATATGCCTGATTCAACCAGTTTGACAGAACGTCTAGAAACACTATCCGAGAGGGTAACTTGAGTGTGCCATGAAACACACTGCAAAATGCTTTTCCAAGGAGGAATGGAATTTCCCCCAAATAACAATAAAATAGAACCGATTATAATAAACATGACTGCTGTTAGGCTCGGAAAAAAGTTAATGCAGAAGTTACATTTCAGATGTAACTGCATTTCCCCATATATAAAACTGCCATTTTTGAAAATATGGTTTATTTTGTCAAAAACGATGAAACAAAATTAAAGTGACAGAAATTATGCTGCAATATTTATTTAACAAAATTTAATAAAAAAAACACACAGGATGCATTTTTTATGATTCAAGAACTACCTTCAGAAATATATACATATATAAAGAATGAAACAGATAGATTTTTTTTGCTTCACCAATATTAATTAGAAAATACAGTAAGCAGATTTGCATAGAAAGAAAACTCAATAAGAAAATTAATTTGAAATATATAAACCAGCAACAAACCAGCGACATTAAATTAAAGATTAGAAACATAGTATTTACATTTCCTATCATCTTCCCATCATCTTTTATGCTCAGCTTTCATAGTGACAGTTTCTCAATCCTGAATGTGCTGTAGCTATCATTTTCAGTCCTAAACTGCTTTGAATTCCTTTTAAAAAGTCAAACAAATATTTAAAGCTGTAGCTTTATGCCAAACTCTAAACTCTATCCACCCAGGGTGGTTGATCTCACACTCAGAATGTTCTAAGATTCTGTAAGATCTTAGTTCCTGCACCTGTGACTTTTCCACTTGCGCACAGCTGCAGTGAGGCTTCTGTCTTGTCTTTGCCAAGCATAAGCCTTATTGACCACCAGGCGTTCCCCCTGGACTGTCCCGGTTAATAGGAAGGTGCCGCCTCGTGGATGCTGTCGGGTCATGTTCCGAACACATGTGGCATCTCTCTCGAGCCACAGTTCAATGCGTGAGCGAATCTGCTCACCGAGCAGAGACCCGCGCTTTAAAACATCCAGCTTTGCAGCCAACGAGAACTGAGATAGACTCACTGGACTATACCTAAGCCTCGTCAGACGCAGCTTCACAACTGGGAGGATAATAGATAAACAGAAATGCAATATTAACTTTTGTTTTCAGTTAAAGAAGCAGGGTGTTTTTGTTGGAGGAGACATCTCGGTACTCACCAAAATCACTCCTACAGAATGTCTCCAGTGTCTCTTTTGAGGAGGAGGCCTCCTCCAGCTCACAGTCCCGACAGCTTGCCTGAGGCACTGAAACCGTTAAACCACCAATTGAATAATTGGTTTAATGAACTCAACTCATTTACTCGTGTGCGGGTGCTCACCTCCGCGCGCCCCGGTGTAGGCAGTTGTGTTGGTGATGGAGGAGATGCACACGAGGTGGTCTGCAGGATACTGGTCACACCGCAGGATTTCAGGCCAGGGGTAGCCATAGCAACTCATGATTGGTGCACAGCTGTCCCTCACAGATTCACACAAACTTCTGCAGGGGGAGACAAACCTGTCAAAGACGGCATGGAGAGGGAAATGGACAGCAGTGATTAGAAGAAAATTTTTAAATAGACTTAAGAATACACACCACCCGGCTAAAATGTGCTAATGAGATAAAAAGGAGACCTGTGATTAACTAAAGTTTCTGTGTGAAAGCAGAGCAGTTTTATCTGAGATTAGCACCAACTGGCATCATTTCTAAATAGTGTTATAGTTTGATGACCCCGTCGGTTTTGGTTGAAAAAAGTATTCTTTCTCCACCTTTTTTTTCTCTCTTGAAACTCTTCTTCTACGGTGTAACTTGCTGTAGTGCTAATGGCTTTAAGAAATTACAAAATAAGAACGCTACAGTCTTTTGAGTCAGTTTTTTGTTTTTTTTGACACATTCTATTCTACTTTGTGAAAACAAAACGTACCTGTCCAGGCAGATTGGAGCAAAAAGAGAGCAGAGGAAAATGCGAGCGTCTGGATGGCACTCTCTGGCCAACAGTGGCAACCAGCTGGCGCTCTGCTGGACAGCCTCAGCTGGAGAATCATGGCCTAGGAGGTTAGGGATCCGCATGGTATCATAACCAATGTTGTGACACAAGGCCATGCTGGAAGGGATTGGCACACATCGAGAAGAGAAGCGGGGATCCCACAGTTTACCGTCGCTTATTGAGTGTGTGGATCTGAAGTTAGACGGAGCACCAGGCTCTCCCCACGCTTCTCCGTCTTCTGCTGCTTCTGCGATTCCTTGCTTTGAAGAAGAAGAATCTCCAAATACATCTTCTTTCCTGCTGTCCACATTTGTCAGGTCTCTGCCCTTGTCCTTAAACACAGATTGAAGCATGTCTTCTGTCCTGATATGTCCGTCCAGCTGTGCTTGACCTCTGCGTAGACTCACCGGTTTGCTGGACCCAGCAAGTATGAGGAGAAGGAGCAAAGGAGCTAACTGGGAGAACATTGTCGTCAGAAAGTTAAAACGGGGGGGGCAAATCAAGAAGTGACAATGAACTCTTGGTTAAAGTGGAGGAGATGTTGTCAGAATGGATGTATTTATAGTGGGCGGTGAACAGATTTGCATAGAAACAGAAAAGGGGAGGTGTAGAGTGCTGTTGGAGGTAGGGACGGGGTGCCAGGAGAGAAGTGCATTAATTTATTGAGTAAATTTAATATTTTTTGTAAGATTTGAGGTTTTGTAAGGGGATGTTTTTATAAACAACTGTTAAATTGTTCTTTTTTTCTTCTTCTTCTTTACACTTTAAATCGAGGATCATATTCAGTCCTCGGCAGAGAATTTCCTTTACTCTTTCTAGAGACTGCAAGCTTTGAGTCAAGACTGTAGAGAAGATTTCTAATCTCGATAATTTTATGTAAATCTGTACACTGAATGATGAAAATTGTGGTGATATTGGAAACAATGATTTCCTCAGAGCCTGAGGTAATTATTGACCAAGTTAACAACAACTGAACTCTGTATGGGCAGCTCTACATGTGTGAGCATGTGCAGGAGATATACACAAAATGTCCCACTGCGTCGCCATGGCGTGATTCCTGCTCTGACAAGCAGGTCACTTCCTTTCCGGGGGAGAAAGACAGACAGCCATGGGGGGGAGAAGAGGAAGCCTCGGTCCCTCTTCATTCATATCAGTTGTCCAAATTAATGAGGCTTGACCGGACAATGGGGATTAACCAAGGGTTCAGTATAAATGACATGGTTGCCAAACAAGGCTTCTACTATACAAGTAACCAACCTGCCGGAAGCTCTTTATCCGAAGGGGTCACGACGGGGAGACACAGATGGGTTGCAGGAGAGAAAAGGCAAATGATCAAAGAGTACATCATAACTACATGCATTTAGTAATATGCACGTTTAAGACTCGACTGCCAATCAATCTGGAAAAGATTTTGGAAATTAGAACAGATGGAAAAACTGACTCGGCCTTTATTTTGCCTTCATTCAATACAATGAGGTAGTTTAGGGTGTGCAAAATGAGAACGAGGATAGCAGATTCAAATTGTGTTCCTGTATTATGTTAATTGATTTTAGCATTTTCTCATTCCTTGACGCCGGTACTTCCTTTCTCTATGTTGCCACTCATTAAAGCTGCCTGAGGGACAGGCTGTATCACAAGAGGCTCAATGTAGACAGACCGAGGGGAATAACCTGCACTCGTTAGATGCACTGTTAGTTTACTCCTTATGCCTCATAGGAGGACCTTCATGTGAATATTTTGATATTTACTGTACCTTCCTACCTTTCTTTTTTTTTGGTTTGTTTTTTGTTTTTGTTTTTTTACAGTAAGGGCCAAAATCAAACTTTTTACTATTTAGAGATATACATATATGGCATAAACTACTTGTCAGATCAGACTAGAAATAAGAAAAACACACCCTGAGGCGATTGTAGCAAAAGGTGATACGGCAAATGTAAATGAGCCGCACACTTTTCAGCGTTTACGTTGCAAAGAAGTTTGAAACCATGTGTTTTCCCTTCCATCTGCACTGCTTTGTGTTGGTCATCCACATCAAATTTGTGGTGTGTGTTGCCTGTCACTATTTATTGATGTGTTTTTATGTTTTTTCCGCAGAGATCCCTGGTTTCCTATCGGAGGAGGAGTGCCGTGTGGTGGTACAGCTGGCCCAGCTCAAAGGTCTGATGGACAGCCAGGCAGCAACACCTAGCCAAGATCAAACAGAGTTAAACCAGCCGCTGCTTTCTCTGAGCACGGAAGAGGTCTTCCGTCTGTTGGACCTGAACCAAGACGGGTTTCTTCAGAAGCAGGAGGTATCCTCAGGATAACAGCACACCCACATTTAGATGCAGGAGGAATATACATTTCTGAAACGGAAATTGTGAATTGTTAAATTATGGTTTTCCTTTTTTTGTGAAAAGACAAAATATTTTGTTTGCCGTCTAGATTGTGAGTCATTCTCGTTCTCGAGATGGGACGTGGTTAAGCCCTGACAACTTACGGCAAATACTGACTGGCCTGGAAGCCTCTCCAACAGGTTAGTCCTTTTGTAATTCATATGCATATTTCTAAATGCTCTGGGTAATAGTAGAGACAAAGCTGGATTGCTATGCAAAATAGAAAGATCTGAAATTTGAAAGAAGTAGTTTTCATGTCTGGATAATTATTGGGAAAGAAAGTAAGTGCTAATAAGTGAACGTTTATTTCCAGATTTTCTTGTCTTCCCACTCATCCACTCTTACAGAGTGTGTTATTTGTTTCTATTTCAATACCTGACCTCTTTTTTTTGTTTTGTTTTATGGGCTTTAAAAAAATATTGAGAACACTGGATATTTTACTCTCAAAAATATGCAGCTTTGTTGTAAAAACATGTAGAAACCTTCAAAACGTAATAATATGGATTCCTTTTCAGAACATCTGTTGGCTTTTCTCTAGGATCTTTGGATACATTTTCAAAATTCTTGTAATTAATCTGTGTGTGTTTGTGTGTGTGTGGTCCCTGCTTTTGTTCTGGTAAAGAGACTGTAAATAGCTGACTTGTGGCTGCGGTTGCGTGAGAGTGTTTGTGAATGTTAAGGCAGGAAGAGGCACCGTTTTGACCCGATACCATTGTGCCAGGCGTTCTCCACATCCGGAAGGGCCTCGTCCTATCTCATTAAAACCCAATTGTCTGTCAGGCCTTTCACTTAATTTTCCCCCGGATACCCTGTATTCCCCAACTCCCTTGTCCTCTAGTCACCTCTGCTCTGGCACCCCAGAGCTATTGTTGCGACTGGGACTCGGGTCTCCAAGGGGAACTCAGGACAGTTTTAGCTGGAAAAATCAGCACATGGCTGAACAAAGAAGAAATGACTAGAAAGGTTTTTCACTAAACAGGAATTCAGGAATTCATTCAACTGAACTGGAATCACAGTCCTGCATCCTATACGACTTGTTTAATGAGATCTCCTCTTTTCTATGTCCCTTGCAGGAATCCTGACACTCGGAGAATTTCGGCGTGTTTATGATGTGTCCCAGCGTCCACGGCAACAGCGAAGCGGGAGCCTGCATAGTCACTTTAAGCAGAGAAACCGACATACATGGCTCTTTCAGGGGCTTGGATCTCACCGTGTTCTGCAAACCCTCAGAAAAAGGTCCCTATCCATATAGACTTCCTCCATTTTGTTTCACATATACAGCTTGCATTAAAATGGAGCACTTTTATTTTGTTTCCTCCTGTCTCCTGCTCAGAGTAATCGCTCTGACTCGTCTGCCCTCTGCACTTCTGGAATTAAGTGAGCCACTGCAGGTCTCCCACTACGAGCACGGAGACTTCACCAACGCTCACTATGACAGCAGCTCGTCTCAGTCAGAGACCACCTGTGCACACACACGGCTGGCAGGAAACACGTCTGCTCTCACAGAGGTCTCCTGCAGGTATGCAGCTTCTCGCATCTCAGATCTGGAATCCAGAAATAGATTGCTGTTTGACTTTCAAAATTTTGCCATTTATAATCAAATGTAATAAAAATCTGAGCCTTTAAGGACTCTGTGTTCCTTTTATTCTGTTTTATTTGTTTGCTTGTTTTTCTTCAGGTATTTGACGGTGTTATTTTACCTCAGCTCTGTTGAGGAAGGTGGTGAAAGTACCTTTCCTGTGGCGGACAATCGTACTTACAATGAGCAGGTGAATTCGGATTTGTGTACATCCGTTTGTATGAGCATTTGTATGGAATTCAGCAAAGCCTAGACACCTCATGTTTATTGATGATGTGTATTTTAGGCTCTGGTCCAGGATGGAGTTGATTTGACGGACACTCAACAGGCCTGTGGCAAAGGGAACCTGAGACTGACCCCAACCGCTGGAACAGCTCTCCTCTGGTATAATCATCTCTCTGATGGCAGAGGTAAAAAAAAACAACAACCTTTTGTTATATGTTATATCTTAACAGTGTGTTCATTAACTCATGTTGCTCATATTTAGACCTGAATCTAGTATCTATGTTGGCGGTTATATAAACCAAGAAGTTTGAGTAAACCGTCTTTGCTGTTGTTTCCTCCATGTTTCTCTAGGTTGGATGGGCGAGTTAGACGAGTATTCCCTGCATGGTGACTGTCCAGTCAAGCGAGGAGTAAAGTGGGTGGCCAACAGCTGGGTGAATGTGGACCCTGATCACCAGCAGCAGGCTCGCTACCAGAGACTAGTTGCTCAGAGGCATCAAGCCAAGTCTGGTATGGATGAGCACTACCAGTCTCTGTCACACAGCGACCTCCACCTGGATCTATAGCCAGGCTGTGAAACAACATGACATCAAAACATTGCTTTGGAAATGGAGTTATTCCGTCTAGTGTGGTCTAACTGACATTTACACAACATCAGATGATGAGGAGGACTTTGCAAAAGTCAGGAGCAGCCCTCATCATTTATATAGATGGCTCAGTCCCAAAGAGCTCAAAACTTACATAACACTGAGATCAGCTGAGATATAATGTATCTGTGTTCCAATTTTATTTCTATTTTCTAATGGACGCTAATCATCTGCTTTAAATTATATCATACGCTAATCATCTGCTTTAAATTATATCATACGCTAATCATCTGCTTTAAATTATATCATAATCCTCTTTTCTTCATCACTTGGCCAGTTTCTTCAGATTCTTTTAAAAGCCACAACTTCTTAAGTGAGGTTATCCAATAATTGAGCCAAGATCAGTTTTTGTTAGATTTTTTTTTACCTTTAACAGCAAAAAACTGTGTATTATTGGTTCTCAGTCAAATTGTTTGAGTGGGCACAACACTAGATTTAGATGCCTTTATTTGTTCCATAATGATTCATAAGTATGGATTGCCGAGCTCAAAAGACATTTCTTTGACACATTTCAAGTACAAGAATTGAACAGAAATATATTTAGATTAGTTACTGTGAAAGAGTTGTGGAAATCTCAAAACTATGTCAGTTCCAAAGAAGCAGGTCGGGCCTTTTAAGTGCAAAATTTAAGCGATAAAGAG